GGTGTTGTTGGATTTGTTGGAGAAAAATGGGTTCTCGTTGCGTTGCAGGAGGTTCGCTCACCTCCACGACTGGAACGACAAGTCTGTCTTCTTCTACCTGTTCCGCCAGACCGCGGGTGGGGAAGGAACAGTTCCCCTTTTTGCCCTCTTGTCGGCGGTGGCGAGGTTCTTCTTGTAGTCTAATCGAGTCGTCTTTGAATCGCTTATCGGACCCACGACCAGGGAGGAGGGAGGAGGTAGGAGAGAGGTGAGCTCTTGACGTCACCAGGTTGTGCTTCTCAGCCATTGCATCGGACAGCATGGAGTCATTCACTATGGGGGAGAACGAACGAGAGGCCATTGCGTGACCCGTCGAGAGAAAAATTCCTGCGAGCAGTCAGGAGGAGGAGGAGGAGGAGGAAGATGAGGATATGATCGATGGGTGAAGGAGATGGAAGAGAGGGAGGAGAAGGATGAACAAAAGAGGGAGTAGGAGGATGAAACAGAGGATGAGAGGAGAAGACGGAGGAGGAGGAGGAGCAGGGAGAGCAGGGGGCAATGCCATGGTTGAGGTATTACCAATCTCGAGCAGTCTCTGAGAAATGTTCTGATCCTGGGTTTGAGTGCCGACGACGATGAGGAAGGGGGAGGCGAAAGTTTGCCTCACTAGGAAGGGATGAAGATAGATAGAGGGAAGGGAGGAGGAGGGAGAGGAGAGTCATCAGGATTTTCGTGTGAAGTCGAACAGCTGTACTCACTTGGCCCATAGTTGACGACGCTGCGTTGCGATCGGATCCACCCGTCGGTCTCGACAACTTTCCACTCGTTGTTCTCCCTCAGAAGGCTCGTGGACATGCTGCAGAAACCTGTCTCCTCCTCCTCCTCCCTTGCCCCCTTTCCCCTTCCCCTCCTCCTCCATCATCCTGAAAGGATCACGAGCATCGTCTCAGCTCCTCCCTCGCTGCACACAAGGAAGCAGGTACACCTGCTGAGCACTTGTTGCTCGATCTCTTGGCCATCCAACACAAGGCGGACAGCGGACGCGTTCCTCTAAGAAGAATGAGCACGCAACGACAAACTCTCCTCCTCCCCCTCCTGGCCTCTTCTATCCCTCGATCTCCCCCTCCCCCTCCCCTATCTCCCCCTCCCCCTCCCCTTCATACTCCTCCTCGCTCCCTGCCCCTCGCTCTTCTCCACTCCTCTCCTCCTCTCACCGTCCATCTTCCGAACTCCCGACACAGCGTGAGGCGAAGAACGTTCACCGTGCCCACCAAGAGCCACGTTCTCCCCTCCTCCTCCTCCTCCACTTGGATGTCAACCAAGCTTCTCCTGTAAGGGACGACCTGCTGCAGGATACGAATTCCTCCTCTTCCACTGTGAGTGCTGGTGGGCAGGTCAGCACAAAGGGACGGAGGAGAATGAGGCGCGGACAAGAAACATTCTCCTCCTCCTCCTCCAACTCTCAATGCAGTCCAAAAGGTCGAACAGCATTATCTACTTCTTTTCCTGCTCATCATCCCCAACAACAACATCAAAAGATTCTACCATTCTCCTGCCTCCTGCCTCCTCCTCTGACCCATCCCTCCTGTCCTCCCCATACTCCACCCCCTCCTCTTTCCAACCTTTCCTCGTCCTACCCAATTATTCCTCCCCTCCCCTCCATCCTCCCCTTCCCTCTTCTCCTTCGTCCCCTCCTCCACTTTTCCTCTGCTCACCTCGGGTTGTACACCACGGCCTCCATCCGCTTGCCGAAGGCAGGAAGCGGTTGGCTCAGCTTCGAGTAGAACTTTCTCAGCTGAGCATCGTTCATCGCTCCTCCATCGCTCTCCTTCTCCGTGTCCCACCACCTGCCCAGCTCGTCCTCATCCCCCCCACCTCCCTCCCCAGCACACAAAGAGGACCAGTGGGCCTTCCCCGGCAGCTCGTTGAATGTTACCTTCACCCCCTTCTCCTGCACACGACTGGTCACACCCGCCGCTTTCCTCCTCCACTCCCTTCTCCTTTTCTCTCTCCTCTCCTCAATCCCCCTCCCTCCCCCCCCTCCCTCCCTCTCTCCCTCTCCTCTCCTCTTGTTCTCCTCCTCATTTGCTCTCCTTCCCTCCCATCCAATCAGCCGGCTCTGCTCTTCATCCCAGTATTCCCCGCGTCTTCTCTCT